GAAGTCCTGTGCCAGTGACCAACATGGGACACCATGGCGGGACATGTGCACGGGCTGTTGGGAAACGGTGCCCATAGACCTGGCTCCCAGTAGGGTTCACACCAAACCTCCATGTGTCACAGGTAAGGGGGCTGCACAGGGCCGTCAGACCAGGTCACCCCGCGGCACATGGCTCACTGACAAGGGGGGCTGCTTTCGAACCTTCCTCTCCCCGAGAGCAGGAGCTGGGCGGAGGTGGGGTTGGGGGGCCAACCCAGGGGGGCTCACCATGGACTGACGCTGCTCTCTGTGCCCTCTCCCCCATCCTGGACGAAGCAGTGCTGTGGGAACAGATCATCCAGCGCCACGGGGGCTTCCTGACAAAAACGCTGAACATCAGCTGCCTGGCCAAGGTCACCGACGGCTTCACCCAAGGCCACATTGTCCAGGTGGTCAAGCGCGTGCTGACCGAGCGCCGCCTGCGACAGCAGGCCCGCAGGCCGCTGAGTGCTGTGGAGTTCATCACGGTCCTCACCGGCATGGACCCCGTGTACAAGGAGGAGGAGGACAGCTTTAAGGTAAAGGGGCACCTCATCGTGGTTCCTACGCCTGCGGCCACGGGGTCCCTCCGCCTTGTCGCGGGCCTGCCTCTATTTCACCACCCTCTACCTCACCGAGCGGGAGGTCCTTCTCCAGGGTCTCTCCTGACCACATGTCGCTACAAGTCAGCATTGACTCCATGGCAGTGAGAGCCCACCGTGTGGTGGCCCCCTGACTCTCCCTGCCCAGCAGGCCCGCCTCTGTGAACACCCACTGGCCGGGCATCACATTTTGCTGAACAACAGTCTCTCTCCTTCCAGAGCTGGTATGCCAAAACCCCTCTGGGCAGGAGGCGAGCCCTGGCCCTCACCGGGGGTGACACAGAAAAGGACAAAGGCAAAAAGAAGGAGAAGAAGAAGTGACGCCTCCTGGAAAGCCGGCCCCCGCCCTCCCGAGAAAAGACTCCCAAGGAGGAGAAGACACTTCCAGACGGGGGGAGTTGAGCTCGTGCCAGGAGCTCACTGCCCCCTTCCCTGTGCAGCAGGCTGGGCCCGGCCCGTTGCCCCCGGCTGCCGTGTCTAGAACTTGTAGTTGTTTGTTCGCATAAAGTAAGTTTGCACATAACCCGCACCCCCTCGTCCCACCCCCCACAGCCCACCCCACATCGGACACCTCCTCTCGTGAGTAGGAATTGCCAGGCTTACAATGCCAGGGTCAGAGAACATTTTCACTCAGTGCCCATTGCCGCCACGGAGCCTGCTTGCTGTGAGCCGCCCCCACCCGCACCCCCACCCCGCACACACACACTGTACACTGCCTTGCCCGTGTTTGAATCCTTGAACACTTTGCTCTGTTAGAATATGTTATGTAGTGGAATAAAACCTTAAAACCGACCGTGTCGCGTGGCTGCCGGCCGGAGCCAAAAGGATCTCTCAGACGACTCATCCCCAAACTGCCAAGAAGGCCACCCTGGCGGGGCTGTGAGCTAATCGACATTGAGCTGCTAACAGAAAGGCCAGTGACGGACCCACCCGGCGGGAGGCGATGAGGCCGCCTGCTTCTGTAGAAGACTGACCACCTTGAAAACTCCCGGGGCCAGCTCTTCTCTGCCCCCCAGCCCGGGGTCGCTGTGAGTCAGAATCGAGCCGAGGGTGGGGGTTTGAAGATGGAGAGATGGAGGGCACTGAGGCTCAGGGTTCCTGGGTTTGGTTTTCAGAACACTGAGACCTCGGGGCTTGGCTGCCTCTGAACCCCCAGCTATTCAAGCAGTGGTGGGCTCAGAGTGGGGAAGGAAACCCCTCCAGCAGAGGCCCCCAGATGTGCTGGGTTCAGGCTGGGTGTCCAGAGAAACAAACCAGGGACATCGTCCGAGTCCAAGAAAGAGCTTGAAGCCCAGAAGCAAGCTGACATCCAGAAGGTGCCCCAGCCCGGTCCCACCCCAGCCCACTGGTCCCAGGCGAGCCGGCCAGGGCCTCTTCCGACCCCACAGGGTGTATCATCAGGAAGCAAGGAGCTCACAGGCCAGTGGGTACAGAGCCTTGTGGGTCCAAGTTTGGTGGGAGCCTGGCAGGGCACCAGAACTTCACAGGGCCAGCAGCCCCCATGGGGCCGTCCCTGGCAACAGACACCGAGTCCCAGTAAAGTCTCAGGAGGAGTAAGGTGAAGTGGCAGAGAGAGGGGCAGTTCTGCATGGCCTGGGTGGGAAGGTGAACTCTCAGAGTGCCCTTCCCAGTCCGACCACCGACAGCCAGGTCTCTCTGCGCCTCTCAGCCCAGCCTGGATCTCCCGCTTCCCCCGGGCACCCAGCAGCTGGCCCTCCAGTACTGCCCGAGAGCCTGCGGCCACCAGCAAGGATCTGTGCAAGGAAGGCTGAACCAGGCACGGGCTCGGGGAGACAGCCACCAAGCCAGAAGACTGTTCTCCCCATCTGTCCACTGGAACGAACCCAGCTTCCACAGCCGCCTCACACCCGAGGGGCCCCGCTTCCTGGCTGAGTCTGGGCCTGACCTGCCCGCCCCACCTGCCCGGGGCTGGCCTGTGTCAGGCTAGTGCCCCCCAACGGGGACTCCTGAAAGAGGGGTAGACCGCCCCCGCTCACCGCAGACTGCGGTGTCTCTCCAGGCCTTTCCATATGTCTCTGGGGAACACACTGCCCTTGTGATCTGAAAACCCATCACCACCGAGTCGATACCAGCCTGACGACGGGCCTCCTAAGGGAATGCCGCACGTGGGCGGACAGGCGGCTTTGGATCCGAAGTACATTTCCTCAGCATGTCGGAGGCAAGAATTCAGGGCATGGACTATCTTATCCAGGGGACCCTGCGGCCGGGTAGCCTGCATGGCTGTTAGGGTAGGGCCCTGGGCTGCAAATCACAAAGTCCAAAAAGCCTCACTGCCACCCAGGCGCTTCTGCCCCACAGCACTCTGAGAGGGCAGGGTAAAACTGCCCCCATGGGCTTCCAAGCCGGTGACTCTTTGTGGAAACAGACAGCCTCCTTTTTCTCCCAAGGTGCGGTTGGTGGTTTCAAACCACTGACTTGGCAGTTATCGCTCCGAACCCACTGCGCCACCAGGGCTCCTAGGTCACAGGTTAGCACTTCAAAAGCCCACCAGCCACTCGGCGGGACAGAGATGAGCCTGTCCCCATGATGATTTACGAGTCCCGGAAGCCCTCCAGAGTGTCACGGGCCGTCAGAATCGACTCCGTGGCAGTGGGCTGGGGTCTCGGGTGGTCTGTGAAGTGTGCAAAAGCAGTTTGAAACAGTGTATGAATGACTGTGTGTTGGGTAAACTAGAGAAACAAGTTCGTAGACACACTCATATGTGTATAAGAAAGCTTTATATACAATAGCAATCGAATATTGAGAAAACATCCCAGCCCAGATCAAGTCCGTAAGTCCGATATAAGTCCATATGTCCAATACAAATCTATAAAGTCCTCTTCAGACTCATGAAACACATGCAATGATGCCGAGTGCAGAAGACCACAGGGCAGTGGGTGGAAAGTCTTGTGGATCCAGTGGCATTGTAAGCATCTCAGCGCTGTCAGGGGTCTCCACGTGGCTTCTCCAGCTCAAGGCTCCAGTGTAGTTCCATGTGTCTTATCAATAGAGAGTCTCTCAGGGAGTGAGCAGAGAGAGAAATCCAGGAATTGCCAGAATCCTCAGGAGAAGGCCATGCCCACACAGAGGCCTCATTGGCTTTGACATGGTTGACGGACACAATGACTGACCAGCATGGGACCCGGAGACACGGCATGATCACACATTTGGGAAAAGGGGCCCCAGCAGACTGGCTCCACAGACTACGGGGTGGCCCCAGCCCTTCCCTTTGTAAGTAAATAAATGCACAGTCTTACAGGCACGATCGGAGGAGGTGCCCGCATGTCCGCTGCCTCCTCAAGCCCTGGCCTGTGTTGCAGTTCTTCATGGGACCTGAGCCCCACCGAAACCTGGACTGGCCCAGCCAGCCCCTCCTCCTGGTTCCCCA